TCCCTTGATTTTCTCCTGAGATGTAGTGAATAAACTCTTGTTCTTTTGTTACCTGTTTGTGTTGTTCGAGATGGGGTCTCACTGTGTTGCCCAGGCTGGCCTGTAACACTTGATCCTCCATCACAGGTGTGTGCCACCACACCCGACCGAATTTTTTAAATACACATTAAAGTGTAGGCACTATGTTGTATAGTAGATCTCTAGGACTTATTTCATCTCGCGTAACTAAAACTTTGTGTTAATACCTCTTCAAATTAGAATTTTTTTATTTTGAGTGGAGTCTTTCTATGTTACCGTAGCTGGTCTTGAATTCCAGCCTCAGCCTCCAGAATAGCTGAGACTACAGGATGGTATAACCATGCCCAACTCAAATTAGAATTCTCTGTTGTTGTTTTTTTTTTAAATATTTTTTTAGTTGTAGATGGGCATAATATCTTTTATTTATTTATTTATTTATTTATACGTGGTGCTGAGGATCAAATCCAGTGCCTCAAGCATGCGAGGCAAGCACTTAACCACTGAGCTACAACCCCAGCCCAAATTAGAATTCTTTCAGGAAAGTACTATCTAAGCTTTGTCCTTGAAAATGGTAGTTTTATTATACAGGGTAACTAGGCATTGTGGGCTAGGCCATTAGAGTCTTTCTTTTATATATAATTGGAAAAGTATTAGAGTTATATTTCCATTCAAAGAACTGCTTTTTTAAAAAAATGTACGTACTGATTCTGTAGAGGCCAAGAAATAAACTGATGTAAACACAAGTTCTTGGAAATATGAATTATCAATAGAGCAAGGGCTTTTTAAAGCAGACAGAGCTGATAAGTAAGATGCATGGAATTGTAGTGTCTACAAGGAATTTCAATTTCTAAAGCTTTGGGACTGCCAGGGTATTTAGTCTGCTGTGCAAAGTGATGGGGGAATTCATGTTCCACCCAGAGATAGCAGTGTAAGAGCTACAACTTTAATGAGTTTTTTATGTTTCAAGTTACTTATTTGTGGTTGGTTACATTTTTAGATGAATCAATTCACTCATCCAATTTGTACTTGTTTAGAACCCAGGAAATAAGAAAGCATGGCTTGTTTGGCTAAAACATACATAAAGTGAGATTCTCCCAGTGTTATGCCCTGAACTATATACCTGTACTTATGTAGGATTATAGCTACAGACCTCACATCATCATTTCATGCTTCATACCCTTGCTAAAGATATCTTTATCTCTCTCTCTCTCTCTCTTTTTTGGTACTAGGGATTGAACTCAGGGGTACTTAACCACTGAGCCACATTCCCAGCCCTATTTTGTATTTTTTTAGAGACAGGGTCTCACTGAGTTGCTTAGAGCCTTGCAGTTGCTGAGGCTGGCTTTGAACTCGTGATTCTCCTGTCTCAGCCTTCTGAACTGCTGGGATTACAGGTGTGTGCCACCATGCCTGGCCACTTATCTTTATGAATGAGAGAATTGAGGCTCAAAGAGGTTAAGGAGCTTACTCAAAGGTCACTTAGCAAATAAGTTGTACAATCAGGTTTGAATCTAGGGAGAGTCCTAATAGCAAATTTGGACTTTAATGTATGGATATTTCATAATTTCATAGATCAATATAGTCTTTTTATTTTACTTGTTAATTCCCTCCCTTGTCTCCAGGTACTGGGGATTGAACCTCGGAGGGCTCTACTACTGAGCTACCGCTCCAGAACTTTTCATTTTTTAACTTCAAGGCAGGGTATTGCTAAGCTGCTGAGTCTGGTCTCAAATGTGAGATTCTCTTGCCTTAGCCTACCATGTCACTAGGATTACAGATGCACCATTACACCTGGCTCCTTTTAGGTTTTGAACTGGGGAATGCTTAGATGAAAATGAACAGAAGGAAGAACTGTATGGTGGCATTATATAGGACCACAGAGGTAGGAAAAAGCTGGTGTGCAAAGAGAGGTAGTAGAAAGGTTTTTTTCTTTCTTTCTTTTTTTTTTTAAAGAGAGAGGAGAGGGGGAGGGAGAGGGAGAGGGAGAGGGAGAGGGAGGGAGAGAGAGAGAGAGAGAGAGAGAGAGAGAGAGAGAGAGAGAGAGAGAGAGAGATTATTTATTTATTTTAGTTATTGGTGGACACAACATCTTTGTCTGTATGTGGTGCTGAGGATGGAACCCCGGCCACACGCATGCCAGGCGAGCGCGCTACGGCTTGAGCCACATCCCCAGCCCCGTTTTTTTTCAAAATATATTTTTTAGTTGTTGTTGGGCCTTTACTTCATTCATTTATTTATAAGCAGTGCTAAGAATCGAACCCAGTGCCTCACATGTGAGGTAAGTGCTTTACCACTGAGCCACAACCCCAGCTGGTAGGTTTTGATTGCAGACAATGCACTGGAGACAGAGTGACTAATGTGGAACTAGAAGACCTGTTCTTTTTTGGTACCAGGGATTGAACCAAGGGGCACTTAACCACTGAGCCACATCTTAAGCCCTTTTTAAATTTTATATTTTGAAAGAGGATCTTGCTAAATTGCTTAGGGCCTTGCTAAATTGCTGAGGTTGACCTTGAATTTGCAATCTTCCTGCCTTAGCCTCTGACCTCAAACTTTCAATCCTTCTTTTCAGTCTCCTCAGTCGCTGGGATTATAGGCATTTGCCACCTCACATGGCAAGAATGCTTTCTAAACAAGATTATATTGAGACAAATCAATCATTTCTGCATCTTTCTGTATTCTTTGTTTAAGAAAATGATTAGGGTATTGCTGCCGCTGCAGGGGTAGATGTTAAAATCCAACAAGAATATTACTTTTGGGACTGGGTTGTGGCTCTGTGGTAGAGCACTTCCTAGCATGTGTGAGGCACTGGGTTCAATCCTCAGCACCACATAAAAATAAAATAAAAGTATTGTGTTCATCTACAACTAAAAAAAAATTTTAAAAAGAACAATACTTTTGAAACAAGTGAAATGATTTAAACCCATTTCTGCAAGACATTTTATGAAAATATACTTAGGAGGCATAAATTGCACTGTCGTCAAATTAATTTGTTTCCTAAGCTCAAATTTAATTTAAAATGAGATATTTCTTCAACTACTTCAATCCACCGACTGTCAAGGGATTTTTAGATAGAAAACACAGGAAATTAATACAGTAATGTTTGAGCAAATAACCAGCACAGTTCTGTCTTCTGTTGCTTGTGATGCTTCTAAAGAGTATTTTTAACAACTTCCTGATGAAATGGCTATTGCTAGTGTGAAGCTCATCTCTGGATGACACCTGCAAATTTTTCTCCATCCCCATGTCCTAAAACAAACCCATTAACAAACTCTGCTAAATCCTTGGTCTGCATTTCTTTTGACTGACCTTTCCATTTTTCCATCCCTGGGTTGCTGAAATGGCCTTCTCTCCAGACTCACCCACAGGGCAAAGGCCTCTTCCCGAAATAAAGCTTTCATCAAGCTATTTCTGTTATTAAAATTGAGGGGATCCCTTGCTTACAGGATAAAGTCTTAATACTGCAGCTGAGCTCCCCATTGTTTCAGCCAGGCAAATTCATTCGCTTTCTTTAGACTTGACTCCTCCACCTACTGAGATTCTGCTACTTGGAATCCTTTGGTGTTTCTTTCTGCCAATTCAGGGTCATCATCTCCTTCTATTCGGACTTGAGATTCACTTCTTTGAGTATGTTTTCCTTGTTTAGAAGCTATTTAGCAGATGAGAAAAAAAAAAACCCTCTTGTTTTCGAGCTTTTAATCACGTTAAGTGCTTTTAAGATAAATCATCCAGGTCTAGGGATAAATAACTTACAGAGATTTCCATTCTTCAAGAACCACACAGAGCGATTTTACTTTGTCAGAAACAAGCACTCCAAATTTTAGGCGGCTGCCTTTTCACTAGGAATCTACACGAGAACCAGAGCAAAATGATTCTTTCTGGTGACCTCTAGTGGGCAAGGGACAATCCTACAAAATTGTGAAAAGTGGAGGGCAAAGTAAAACCCTTCTCTGTAACCAGCAGGGTTACTCTATGGTCAGCTGATCGCATCCTTCCCCACCCTTATTTTTTTCTTTCAGCATGTTTTGCATCTAACATTATTTGCCCTACGACTCACCTGTTTCGCCTTCCGCAGGTTGGGCTGCCGGTGTCAGATGTCGAGTGAATTGCTGGTAGCGGTTCAAAATAATCCCTACTAAGTAAAACCCATTCCCTGGGCATCCAGCAGAGCTTGGGGTTGTTCGCTCAGCGGAGCCTTAAGGGGCTCTTCAAGCTCCGGTGCTGCAGCCGGATCCGGGGTGCACGGGGGAAATCGAGACATTATGGAAAGGATGCCGACGAAGGCAACGAGAAATTCTGTTTTTGCCAGGGAATCCTCCCCAGACTTTCACCCCACTCTATGAGAGACTTCACGAGAGGGTCCAGGCGCGCTACACGTTGGTGCCTTCCCAGGACAGGTGCCGGGGAGAGCGGAGGCCGGGGCCACTCCGCGGGCGGCATCGCGCGGGGGCTGGGATGTGCGGCCGCCTTCGAGCACTCGGCACGTGGGTCGCCCTGCGCGGGGAGAGGAAGCGCAAAGTCTGCAGGAAAAGCATCGGCTGGTGTGCCTTCTCTGAGGAATCCTTTTGGGGCGGTCTCAGAAGCTGGGACAATTTCTGGAAAGAGCTCTGGCCAAACGTCATCTGTCCCTTCTCTTCAGACCCTGCACCCCAGACCTCACCTCTGCACCCCTCCTTACCCTCCTGTCTCCTCCTTTCAGAGGTTGTTAAATGAGGCCCTTGGGAGATGCCCAAGTCATCCCGATGGCCAGGGGTGGGATGTGGCAGCAGGCAACCTGGCCACTGGGCTTGGCTCCCCCTACACCAGGGACTCCCGGCTCCTGGCATCCCCGCCCTGCGGACCCCTCCTGGCCGCGGCAGGCGGGAGTGCAGCGGGGAGCCAGCGTCACGAGGCTGGGAGCCCGAGGTCCAGGGCGGGGCACCGGGGAATCCCAGCCCGAGCGCGCCCGGGAGGTGCGGGCGGACGCGGGCGGGCAGAGGAGGGCGGCGCGCAGAGGGAGGTGAGCGGCGCGGAGCCGGCAGGCAAGGAGGAGGCCGGCGAGGGAGGCCCCGCCCCCGCCTCTCGGAGCCGGCTCCTCGCCGCCTCCGAACCCGCTCACTTTGCCTCTCGCCTCTGGACGGCTGCGGGGCAGCTGCCCGAGCTGCGGCGGGCGGGAGCGCCTCCCGGGACCTGGAGTCTTCCGCACGGCGCCTCCCCTCGGCGCCCGCGCCCCTCAGGGAGGACGGCGCCGCCGCCTTGGAGAGGGCACCCCGGTATCGCAGGGGGCATCCCCCGGCGCGAGGGGCGGCGGCGCCAACACAGACTCGTTCCCAGCCAGTGGGGCGCAGCGCTGGCGCCGGAGGGGACTCCCCGGCCACCCGCAGGTACTGCCGCGCGGAAGGCGCGCTGCTAGCAGCGACGCTGGGCTGCCGAGGAGGCTAAAGCCGAGGGGCCCCGGGCCAGTGCGGGGCAGAGAGGAGCCCCGAGGGAGAGCGGGCCCCGACGGCGCTCTCCCCAGTCTGCCGGAGGCAGGCAGGCCCCACGCGGCGGCCGGGCGACCCTTGAGCTGAGGGTCCCTAGGGCAGCCAGCCATGACCTTCGGGCGCAGCGGGGCGGCCTCGGTGGTGCTGAACGTGGGCGGCGCCCGGTACTCGCTGTCTCGGGAGCTGCTCAAGGACTTCCCGCTACGCCGGGTGAGCCGGCTGCACGGCTGTCGCTCGGAACGCGACGTGCTCGAGGTGTGCGACGACTACGACCGTGAGCGCAACGAGTACTTTTTCGACCGGCACTCGGAGGCCTTCGGCTTCATCCTGCTCTACGTGCGCGGCCACGGCAAGCTGCGCTTCGCGCCGCGGATGTGCGAGCTCTCCTTCTACAATGAGATGATCTACTGGGGCCTGGAGGGCGCGCACCTCGAGTACTGCTGCCAGCGCCGCCTCGACGACCGCATGTCCGACACCTACACCTTCTACTCTGCGGAAGAACCGGGCGCGCTGGGCCGCGACGAGGTGCGACCCGGCGGGGCCGAGGCGGCTCCCTCCAGGCGCTGGCTGGAACGCATGCGGAGGACTTTTGAGGAGCCCACGTCGTCGCTGGCCGCTCAGATTCTGGCCAGCGTGTCCGTGGTGTTCGTGATTGTGTCCATGGTGGTGCTGTGCGCCAGCACGCTGCCCGACTGGCGCGCAGCAGCCGCTGACAACCGCAGCCTGGATGACCGGAGCAGGTACTCCGCCGTCCCTGGGAGGGAGCCCTCCGGGTAGGACGCACTGCTTCTCTGCACGTCCGTCCTGTAGCGTCTGTCCGTCCCGTCCGTCCTTCGCGTCTCCGTCCTGTCTGCCTGATGAACCAGGCAGGGTTCAGGGCCCAGGGAGGCCCCACGCGCGCCAACTAAGGGAAGGGTTGGGCCCCGTCGTCACCCCTGTTTTCTGGGCATTGACCAGATCTGATACTTCTGCTAGAGACTCAGCTTGAAGGCGAGATCCTCAGGCCTGGATAGGGGCAGACGGAGATACTCAAACCTCTTATCTTTGTAGTTTACTTCTGAGCAGATAAAGACCTGCTAATTAATTTTCTCTAAACTTTTGTTGCTATTATGCAGTCATTTAACCCTGAGCATTTAATAGCAGTTTCAAATATTTGCCAATTTTGGTGGTGTTTGAAAAGATGAAATCTTGTTCTGGCAAAATGTGGTCTGCTGTGCTCTGCCCACACATGCTATACACCCTGCCCCCGGCGTAATGTGTGCTGTAATGGAATTGCCATATGATAAAGGAGGCTAATTTAACGACAGACTCTAAATAATGGATGTCTGTGCCCTTTTCTGCCTTCTTTCCCTACCAGGGATGAAGTTAGTGAAGCTCCTGTCTATCCGGTACCAAAGAAACACAACTGTGACTTTCAGAGGGTCTTCAGTAATGAGGAGGGAAAGAACCCTTGCCTCTGGAGAAGAGAAAAACCCAAAATCTGAGTAGTTTGTTTTGTTCTTTCCACTTTACTAGATGAAAGGAGAATATTTTAAGCTGATTCCTAAGATGAGGCTTACCTCTTAATGGTGATAACACTTTTCTGTTTTTAGTACAAGTGAGTTTATTTTGCATATTTAGTGGGAGGAATAAGCATACTAAAGTTGGACTTTCAAGGGAGACAGCCATTTTGGGCACCAAAATCAAGTTGTATATTCTGTTTTACCTTTGTTTGGTAACCCTTTTAACATTCTCCCTCCATTCACTTTTGTATTTTATTTTTTTTTTCCCTAGTCACTTTTTAAATTCAAGTTTGCACCCTGTGATCTTTTTTTCCTGATGGGCCCGTGGATGTTAGGAATGGTGCTATGCTTCTTGATTTTGTAGTGGATTAATTTCACATAATATTCTTCCTGGGGGAAGCAAAGATTTCCCCATAAATCTAAGTAAATAAAATTGTCTAGTATTATGGAGTCTATTACTGATATGTCATCTTGGCATGAAATCCAAGATACACGCTTTGAAAATAAATAAATTAGGAAACTTTGTTTATTTTATTAGGTTCTAACTGTTTTCAATTTTCAGATAAGAATTACTTGGTACTCCAACAGAACAATAAAAGTAGTTTATATATCTAAATACATAAGAGCCCTTGATTTAGACTCCCCCCCACCAAAGAGGGTTGCAGGAAAATGAACCATAAATGGCCAGCCTTGAAATGATTCACTAGTAACTAGAATTCTAAGATCAGTGAAGACTTGAGCTGTATTATATTAGCAAAGGAATACGCAGGGAGTAGACTACACCAATATATAAGCAAACACAGTTGAAATACATGAATAATTTTTTCGAGGGAGCTGAGGGGTTTTGGGAGTTTAGGGAAAGGTAGGCTGCAGATTATTAATGTACAGCATTTGGAAAGAAGTGAGAGGGATGAATGATAATTTCAGGGAGAGCATCAGAAGAAACCAAAAAGGGGAAGAGGCAGAGATAGAAAAGAGGGAGGATGCAAAAAAAGTGAAGGAAGAAGAGTAATGCTTAATTTGTATATATGTATTTCATGTATGTATATAATTATTCAAGTCAGAACTGTTTCCTAGACACCAGATATTTCAGGCAAATACATGTTTTTCTTGGCTTAATGGCCCAGTTTTAAGCTTCCTTTTAGAAGTGTAGGTATATCAAACCAATATCTGTAATCCCAAACAGATGAACCGAAGGATGACTGACTGAGAATGTGACACATTTCAGAGAAAGCCCCTCACATGCCTCCTTCAAGTAGTCTTTCAAACCTCTTTTTTTTGGGGGGGGGGTACCTGGGAATGAACTCAGGGCCACTCGACCACTGAGCCACATTCCCCAGCCCTATTTTGTGTTTTATTTAGAGACTGGGTCTCACTGAGTTGGTTAGCACCTTGTTGCTGAGGCTGGCTTTGAACTCAAGATCCTCCTGCCTCAGTCTCCAGAGCTGCTGGGTACAACATGGTGTGTACCACCATGTTGGGCTGAAATTAGTCTTTCTAAAACATCATTCTGGTCATTCGATCATAGCTGAGATTTATCAAATAAAGCTCCTTTCTTGGCCTCAAGACTCTACAATTAAAAAAAAAAACACCTTTTAGTTGTAGATAGACACAATACCTTTATTTATTTTTACGTGGTGCTTAGGATTGAACCCAGTGCCTCACACATGCTAGGCAGTGCTCTACCACTGACACAACCCTAGCCCAAGGCTCTTGACAATTTTATCACAACCTTGATTTATCCCATCATTAGTTGCAAATATCTTTTCAGTATAAGCTGTATTAAAGCACTGATTCAAATATTGTAACTTTGTGTTGTAAAGAAAAGTTGGATGTGTAGAAGATAGATTTCTTGAGATTGTTCTGAGAAGGCATTCAAGGTCAGGGAGGACAGGGAAAAAGCCTTCATTGGAAGGCTGCAGAGAGATTTTGCACTGTCCAACACTGGTGGGATGTCATTTATATAAAAACTAGCTTATGCAGCCTGTATAACCCATGTGCCAGTTGTGCTCTACCTGGGAACAAAGTAAGGACGCTTCCAGGTGAAAGGAACAGCAAAAGTGTGAAACTTATATAATGTGTTCAGAGAGTGAGAATTCAATGATAGAGTGAAAGGTGGCTAGAGAGCAGATGTGAGGGAGAATAATTTTATTTTGCAGGCATTGGCTGCAACAGTGAGTCATTGGCTGGTTTGTAGGGTTTGTGGTGTGTGGGTTATGCATATAAAGTAATGAATGTAGCTAGATGCAATGGCTGTGCCTGTAATCCCAGTAACCCTGGAGGCTGAGGCCCGAGGATTGGAGTTCAGAGCAGCCTCAGCAACTTAGTGAGGCCCTAAGTAACTCAGTGAGAACTTGTCTTAAAATAAAAAATAAAAAGGACTGAGGATTGCATTTGGCTCAGTGGTAAACATCCCTAAGTTCAGCTTCTGGTACCTAAATCAATCAATCAATATAATGAATGTGGTATATACCATGAATTGGAGGGAGGTGGTGATTGTACCAGGTAAGTTGAATGTGGAGATTTTTTGCAGAGGGAGGGAATGAGAACCTGATTGCTTTGTGGTGGTAAGAATGGAGAATACATGACAACTCTGGAACATTCTAGGAAGAATTAGAATTACTCCAGGATATTGGGAAGATAACACGAATCGGGGCTGATTCAGTGGATTTCCAGGGGCTGTATGTATTCCCTGGGCCTTGAGGTTCCATTTGTCCACCCTGGCCTGCTTGCTGGTTCTCAGTGTCTCTTTACTCTGCAATCTCTGGCCTCTTGAAATTGAATCATTCATCAAGCCCAACTCAGGTTGTTTCTCTTGAAGCCTTTACTGTGTATCCTCCTGAACTTCTTGAGAAATTCCTGTTTGCACTGCTTAATTAGCATCTATAATATATACTTCCTAGCATGGTAGTTATTTTCTCATATTAATGTGTTCTAGCTGCTAAGCTTAGATTAGACAGCCCAGGAAGGCAAGTGAATTTGCTTATGCTATTTCTTATCATGGCATTTTTTTTTAGAAAAAAAATTACTTTTCAGGTACAATAAATATCTATTGTTTATATTTCAAAATAGAACCTTTCAGAAAAAAATTTTTATTTTCTTTTGGTACTGGGTACTGAATCCAGGAGCAATTTACCACTGAGCTGTATCCCCAGCCCTTTCTTTATTTTTCTGTTTTGAGATAAGTTCTTGCTAAATTGCTTAGGGCCTCACCAAGTTGCTGAGGCTGGTTTTGAACTTGGAATCCTCTTACCTCAGCCTCCTGAGTCTTGGGATTACACGTGTGCCACCATGCCTGTCCTTAATACCATTTTTATTACTCTGTCAACCCTTATATTAATTATACGTGGTTCTGGAGATTGTGCCCAGGGCCTCACATGTGAAGCCAAACAATCTACCACTGAACTGCATCCCCAGCCCCAGAAATATATTTTCTGTTGTATGGTTTGGAGAGCTGTTTGGGGTAAGGCAGTGGACTTCAGGTGCCAGAACTCTTGGCAGATGGGATCCTGTACTAGAATAAGAAAAAGTCTATCAAGAAACAGTATTTATCAAGTACTTATTGTACAAAAGGGATAAGGAACATGGTTTCTTCAGGAAAAAAAAATTTTTTTTTCCATGATAGGAATCAAACTCAGGGTCTTACCCATGCTAGGCAAGCCTTCTACCATGAAGCTACATCCTCAGCCCTTTTTAAAAAGATTTCATCTCACTAAGTTGTCCAGCCTACCTTGGAACTTGCGATCCTCTGGTCTGAGCCTCCTTGGTAACTGCGGTTACAGGTGTGTGCCAGTGTACTCCACATCAGGAACATCCTGATTTTCTTGTGCAGCTTCCTGGGTCCAATCTCTCCCCTCTCCAATTCATGGTACACACTGCTTTTATGGATGTCCTGTAATTGCTGGGCATCTGTGTTATTTCTTGTCCATACGAGTTGCTTTGGTGATTATATTGTATATGCTTGCTTTTTTTTTTCCCCCTCCTGCAGCACTGGGGATTGAACCCAGGGGTGTTCTACCATCGAGCTACACCCTCCACCCTTTTTGTTTCTCATTTTAAGACAGGGTTACTAAGGGTTTCAGGGTTTCACTGAATTTCTGAGTCTGGCCTTGAACTTGGGATCCTCTTGCCTCAGCCTTCTGAGTCCCCGGGGTTACAGACGAGCACTACCGTGTCTGATTGACATTATTGTGTTCCATTTGCAAGTATACATTAGAATAAATTCTTGAGCGTTAAATCATTGAGTTAAAGGACATGTACACTTATAATTG